CTATCCTTCCTTTACCTGCCACTAACACTATCTTTACCTTCACACCTGCCACTAACACTATCTTTACCTTCACTTTACCTGCCACTAACACTATCTTTACATCCCTTTACCTGCCACTAACATATCTTTACCTTCACTTTACCTGCCACTAACACTATCTTTACCTTCACTTTCACCTGCCACTAACACCATATCTATATCCTTCACTTTACCATACCTAACACTATCTATACCTTCCTACCTGCCACTAACACTATCTTTACCTTCACTTTACCTGCCACTAACACTATCTATCACCTTCACTTTACCTGCCACTAACACTATCTTCACTTTACCTGCCACTAACATATCTATCTCCTTCACTTTACCAGCCACTAACACTATCTTTACCTTCACTTTACCTGCCACCTAACACTATCTTTACCTTCACTTTACCTGCCACTAACACTATCTATACCTTCACTTCCTGCCACTAACACTATCATACCTCACTTTACCTGCCACTAACTATCTTTACCCTCACTTTACCTGCCACTAACACTATCTTTACCTTCACTTTACCTGCCACTAACACTATCTTTACCTTCACTTTACCTGCCACTAACACTATCTAATACCTTCACTTTACCTGCACTAACACTATCTTTACCTTCACTTTACCTGCCACTAACACTATCTTTACCTTCACTTTCCGCCGCCTAACACCATATCTATCTCCTTCACTCACCAGCCACTAACATATCTTTACCTTCACTTCCTGCCACTAACTATCTTTACCTGCCACTAACACTATCTATACCTTCACTTTACCTGCCACTAACACCATAATCTATCTCCTTCACTTTACCTGCCACTAACACTATCTTTACCTTCACTTTACCTGCCACTAACACTATCTATACCTTCACTTTACCTGCCACTAACACTATCTTTACCTTCACTTTACCTGCCACTAACACTATCTATCTCCTTCACTTTACCTGCCACTAACACTATCTTCCTTCACTTTACCTACTAACACTATCTTTACCTTCACTTTACCTTAACCGCCACACTATCTTTACCTTCATTTTGCCTAACACTATCTTTCACCTCTTTACCCTGCCACTAACACTATCTTTACCTTCACTTTACCTGCCCTAACACCATATCTATCTCCTTCATACCAGCCACTAACACTATCTTTACTTTCCTCCGCCACTACCACTATCTACCTTCACACCTGCCACTAACACTATCTTTACCTTCACTACCAGCCACTAACACCATATCTATCTCCTTCACTTTACCGCCACTAACACAATCTTTACCTTCACTTTACCTGCCACTACCACTATCTTACCTTCACACCTGCCACTAACACTATCTTTACCTTCACTTTACCACTACAACACTATCTTTACCTTCGCTTCCAGCCACTAACACCATATCTATCTCAGCCGCACTAACACAATCTTTACCTTCACTTCCCGCCAGTAACACTATCTTTAACTTCACTATACCTTACATTAATACTATCTTTACCTGCCACTAACACTATCTTTACCTTCCTCTACCTGACACTAACACTATCTTTCACTTTACTTTACCTGCCACTAACTATCTTTACCTTCCTTACCTGCCACTAACACTATCTTTACCTTCACTACCTGCCACTAACACTATCTTTACCTTCACTACCTGCTAACACATTTTATTTACTTTACCTGCCACTAATATCTTTCCTTCACTTTACCTGCCACTAACACCATCTATACCTTCCTTTACCTGCCATAACACTATCTATACCTTCCACTTTACCTGCCACTAATACTATCTATTCACTTTACCTGACACTAACACTATCTTTCCTTCTTTACCTGCCACTAACACTATCTTTACCTTCACTTTACCTGCCACTAACACTATCTATACCTTCACTTTACCTGCCACTAACACTATCTTTACCTTCACTTTACCTGCCACTAACACTATCTATACCTTCACTTTACCTGACACTAACACTATCATTACCTTCACATTTCCTGCCACTAACACTATCTTTACCTGCCACTAACACTATCTAACATAAATAATAATAATAATAATAATAATTAACGGTTTATTGAAAGAGCTTGGCAGCCAGAAGGCTGAAAATATACAGTTACATATTTGGGGAATGGGTTTCGAATTACAAATAATATACAAGTAACATAAGTGACACAAATAAGACATAATAACTAGATGGGAAAAGCTCAAACTACAGTTCATTTCAACATAGTGACAGTGCAAGGAGTAGTGTTTACTGGGAGTGAATACACTGGTTTATTACAAGTTATTGATAATTTTTACTATGGTTGGGACTGGGCTGTTCTCATAGCGATCAGTTCGTGCACGTATGGGATGGATGCGGTTGTGGTGTCGAACAGCATGGTACCTCTTCGGTGTTGGTTGTTTTATTTATGCTACCCTGTACTTGACAATGGCAATTTACGCTAGTACAAGTATCTCAATACAATTATTACCATATAACACTGACATACAATAGTTGTCATTCTATTATACTGTTAGTGTCATTCTTTTATACTGTTGGTGTCATTCTATTTTACTGTTGGTGTCATTCTTTTATACTGTTGGTGTCATTCTATTTTACTGTTGGTGTCATTCTTTTATATTGTTGGTGTCATTCCTTTATACTGTTGGTGTCATTCCTTTATACTGTTGGTGTCATTCCTTTATACTGTTGTCATTCCTTTATACTGTTGGTGTCATTCCTTTATATTGTTGGTGTCATTCCTTTATACTGTTGGTGTCATTCCTTTATACTGTTGGTGTCATTCCTTTATACTGTTGGTGTCATTCCTTTATACTGTTGGTGTCATTCCTTTATATTGTTGGTGTCATTCCTTTATACTGTTGGTGTCATTCCTTTATACTGTTGGTGTCATTCCTTTATACTGTTGGTGTCATTCTTTTATATTGTTGCACTGTTGGGCTTTATACTGTTGGTGTCATTCCTTTATACTGTTGGTGTCATTCTTTACTATACTGTTGGTGTCATTCTTTATACTGTTGGTATTCCTTTATACTGTTGGTTGGTTCTTTGTACTGTCATTCTTTATACTGTTGGTGTCATTCCTTTATACTGTTGGTGTCATTCTTCTTATATTGTTGATGTCTTTATTTTATACTGCTGGTGTCATTCCTTTATACTGTTGGTGTCATTCCTTTATACTGTTGGTGTCATTCTTCTTATATTGTTGATGTCTTTATTTTATACTGCTGGTGTCATTCCTTTATACTGTTGGTGTCATTCCTTTATACTGTTGGTGTCATTCTATTATACTGTTGCTAAATCTCAAATTTTCCAATGATGGACCTTTATTTATTTAGGGAAAGACTAACAACTATTTTAATGTTTATTCCCGTTCATATCTTAATTATTTACCACAGCCACTGGTGTCGCCTCTTCAAAATGGAAAATTTATCCTAGCTAATTTTTTTAAATATTATAACTAGCTTGTAGCTTTGTCAACAGTGTATGAATTATTTTGAGGAAATATCCTGCTTTCCTCGTGGGGACCAGCTGATCACTTAATTCCAGTTTCCTACGTTCGGTGTGCATGTGGTCTTGGACAATGGCTTGTACAGTAGGCCCGCAACGCGACCGAGACAGCTGACGCCACGAGGATCAAGATCACTTATTAGTCTGGCTACAGCCTAGTTACGTTTCTCTGTTCTCTCACCTGGTTTTTTAGTGCTAGAAATTCAAAATATGACGATTGGTCCCCTAAAATAATGAAAAAGACAGCATTGTCCTCATGCGCTGAAAATTAGGACTACACTTCCAGTCTGCCCAATCCAACCCTTGAGCCACGACCCAGCACTTCTCAACTCTCCCAGAGCTATAATCCATCATACCCTGACGACAGCAAACCCGCACTCCACCATCAAACGCCCGATTCACTCTCAAGCGGGGACTAGTGTCAAAAGTAATACCCTACTCAACTACCAAGCGCTATAACGTCTGCAACTCCGGACACTGCAAGGATCGACTCAATCTTCACCTTACAACCAATCTCAACGCCCAGCTCTTGTATCTCCTCCGTCCCACCCTATGACTCCTCCCTAAGTCCTGTTTGTCTAGTCCCTCGGCAGCCTGTTTTCCTCTCGTCATCATGCTTGCCTGCTGAGGAGGCTCCTCGTCTTCACTCCCTGGCTCATCCACCACCGAGCTAGATATTCCTGCACAGTCACCCCTATTCCTGGCCAGAAGCCTCGATCCCGCACAAGCGAAAGGGTACAATCCCGCCCCTGGTACCCGAACTCATCAATTCCCCCTGGAACCTTAGCAGCAACATTGGCACCTCTCTCCACACATTCGTTCCTTCACGCCTTCTAAACCACACGGCCTTAACTACCAAGTGTTGCCTCACTCAGTACATCTTACGGAAATCATCATTCTGGAGTTCCCCTTGTGCGTCTCCCTCCTGAATCTCTTCTGCCATCCATCTCCGTATCCCCTTAAAACATTTCATGCATTCCTGTTCCCTGCGCAGCCCATCTACCGTCCACAGCTCACTCACCCCAGCCACATTATTCTCCACTATATTAATTGCCGTATATTCGTCATCACTCTCTCCTTCCTGTTCCCTAGGAGCCTAGATAGAGTATCTGCTACCGTGTTGCTCTTTCCCGCCTTGTACTGATGATGAATTCGAATTGCTCTAAACCAGCATTCCACCTGTTCCGACTGCCCCTTAATTAGCGGTCTCTTTATGACTCAATGGATTGTTATCAGTGTAGACAGCGAAATGCTTCCCGCCATTTAGTCCCTGAACTTATTCACTATTGCCTATTTGAGTGCTATCATTTCTAACTTAAGGGAGCTATATTTTGTCATGTTTCTCTCTGATTTCCTGAGGCTCCGGCTTGCATTGCACGCAGGATTCAGCTTGCCATCATTTATCTGGGACAGCACAGCACCTAGCCCACTGAAACTTGCATCTGTCTCTAAGGTGAATTCCTCAATGAAATCTGGGCAGGCAAACTCTGGCGACTGCTTCACCACGTCTTTCATCTTCTGGAACGCCTACTGCTACCTCCCTCCCCCTTCACCCCCAACTAGATCCTTCGCCTTCCTATGCATCAGCTCATGCAATGGAGCAGCTATCTGAGAAAACTCGTTGATGAATTTGCTATAAAAAGAGTCTAATCCCACAACGCCTTCACATCTTTCTCTGTCTGAGGGACTGGCCAGTCTTTTACTATCCCGTCCCCGGTCGACGGTTATATATGTACATTTTTTTTTATTTACATCTCAAGCGATGTAGACTATCCCTGAACACAAAGCCTAAGTAAACATTACTACAGTATCTTCCTCTCATACAGGTCTTCGCAAGTTTATTAAGGAAACTATCCACATGTGGGAGTCTCTGGTGACAGATGTACTGATATGGCAGTCAGCTCCACTCCACGTCGTTCACTATGAGCGCCTGGTAAATAACACAGACCTTTATCTCCGTGGGATGCTACACTTCCTCAGGTAAGGTTGAAGCCTCTTACTGCACCACCTTTCCCACAGGCATATTAGATATTTTATACAAATGTCCTAAACGCTGCTGCCTTCTGTTAACAATGCTGTAACTCTCTGATGTAATGTGACAATAACACACTTGGCGTTGTCTTGTACGAAGGTAAATATTTATCTGGAGTACCACTAGAGGAAGGTCGTCTGTCCTGTACCAAGGTAAATATCTAATAAATGTATACAATATGAGGTACAACTGTAACATCATAGCAACATTACTATCCTCCTCAGGGTACCAGAGGATGAAGAACGCCTTTCCTGTGTTTCCTCCCACCTCGCGGGACCCGTCAAGAGTGTGGACAAGAAGGCTGTTGATCCCTTTACGAGCTCCGAGAAAATGAAAATTGCGAAAGCCGTGGACAGAGTTAACCGACTACTGCTGCTGTTGGGCTATCCAGTCATTGCTTCCTCCCAGAAAACTTAATGATTGACAACTCAACCAGCTGACTGTCTACTCTTAGTACTAGAGAGTGACTTTGAGGAACAAGGACCTGGACAACAATTTAATAATTACAAAAAAGTAATGTTAGAGACTGGGGAAAACTTATAGGACAAAGGAGGAACGAGGATAAAAGTAGGTGGATGTCAAACGAAATTGTGAAGAAAATGAATAGAAGGAAAAAAATATGTGTAAGAGTGTACCATCGTACGATATGTTTTCCCATGTTGAGTGGGGGGGGCTTGTCCTTGGCAGCGCCTGGTGGCCAGTGTCCAGCTGACGCTGTTATAATAAAGTCTATAGAGAACTTGGTCTATGACTCCAACCTCTCACATGGCGCACAGTGAGTAGGATATGTCGGGGCCCGACACGCCATTACAGCCCTGACAAGAACGCTGACATGGCCCCTACACGTCCACGATTCTCGACGCCCTCAAGGGGACGCCAGGGCTTCTCTACACCGGCCGGGAACACCGCGCGTGCCCAGCAGCAGGCCATGAGTGCATTGATGGCTCAGATGGCTTCTCTAGGTGCTGGCGGTGGTCATGCTTCTATGCCGGTCATGAAGCCCTCAGCAGCTGTCGCTCCAGAGAAGTGTGAGGCAGAAATGCCAGCAGCTGCGTTTAGGACATGGAGGCGGTCCATGGAGTCATGGGTGCTGCTGAACGGGTGGCCACAGCTGGTGGCCACACTCCACATTCGCCTGAACTGCGTCCCCGCACTCCAAAGAGTGATTGACTCGAGATACCCCAGCGGTCAGTGGGAGCAGCTCTCGCCCAAAGAAGCCCTGGACGCCATCAGTGGAATGGTTCTTCAATCTTCAAACCAAGCTGTGAAATGGAACGAGTTTTTCAACAGCAAACAAGGTGAAGAGGAGCCCATGAAAAGGTATTTTCAACGATGCTTCTCAGAAGCAGTGGAGTGTGAGTTTAAATGTCCCACCTGTGATAACGACCTCTCTGAGTACATGCTATTACGTAAAGTTATGGTGGGCCTGAGTAACCCAGTGTTGAAAAGGGAAATTTTCCAGGGGTACTCTAGTTATAATAGTGTTGAAGTGCTTAGAAACAAATGCATGTTATTTGAGGCAGCAGTGAGAGATGCTGGTGTATTGTGTCGTACGTCTGGCCAGGCAGTGATGGGAACAGTTGCTGAGGCAGTGGCGGGTGGTGATGACGTCACCGGTGAGCCTGAGGTAGCTGCCGCCCGACCTCCAAACCCCAGTCGCGGGCACTGTGGTAACTGCGGCGTGTCACATGCCCCTGGTAAAAGTAACTGCCCTGCAAGTGGGGCTACATGTCGCAATTGCGGTAAGGTTGGTCACTTCAAAAGGTGTTGTAGGAGTAAGTCAGCCCTAAGTGCTCCTGTGGATGTGTCAGGCGCTGTTACAGTGGCAACAGCCCAGCTATCCCGCCACCCCAGGTTACAAGTGTTCGTGTCCCAGGCCGGGGGCAATTCCCCCGCCACCCCTGTGCTGGCTGTAGCCGACACGGGTGCTATGGTGTGTGTGGCAGGCGCATCCCTGCTCCGGGACATCGGTTTGTGTCCGGGGCAACTTCGGGCCCGTAATGGCTTAAGGGACGTGGCGAACAAACAGCTCAAGTGTCTGGGGTCCGCCCCCTGCCGCCTCGGTGTGGACGAGGGGTCCACCGTCCAGGAGGTCTACTTCGTGCAGACAGCCAAGGCCCTCTATCTGTCATTGGAGGCCTGCAAGTGCCTCAACTTGGTGCCTGTCGACTTCCCGCTCCATAGACGTGCTGTGGCTGCCGTGGGCGATGGAGGGGAGCGGCACACTGCCGACGATCTACCTCCGAACCGTTTACCTGAGAGCAGCCGTTTCCCGCCGAGGCCAGTTGAGATACCCTTGCCTCCTTTGGAGGAGAATGTGGCCAGGCTGGAGGCATGGCTACTCACGCACTTTTCGTCTACCGCATTCAACACCAGCAGGTCCCCACTGCCAGTCATGACTGGTCCCCCTCACCGTATCCACCTGACGCCCGGCACGACCCCCTACGCCTGTCACACACCCGCTCCCGTTCCGAAACACTGGGAAGCGGAGGTGAAGGCCCAGTTGGAGGAGGACGTCAGGAGAGGCGTCATCCAGCCAGTGCCTGCTGGTGAGGCTACGGAGTGGTGCGCCAGGATGGTCGTGGTGGCCAAGAAAAACGGTCAGCCCAGGCGCACTGTGGACTTCCAACGCCTCAATGCAAGCTGTCTGAGGGAGACGCACCACACACCTGCACCATTCGACATGGTGTCTGGGGTGCCAGTGCACTCGTTCAAAACCGTCGCCGACGCCTTTTGGGGATTTCATCAAGTGGAGTTGGAGGAGGAGAGTAGACGCCTGACCACATTCATCACGCCGTGGGGACGTTTTCGATACTGCAGGACGCCCATGGGACATTGCTCAGCGTCAGATGCTTACACCAAGAGGTTTGACGACGCTATTCAGGATGTGCCCCGCAAGTACAAGTGCGTGGATGACACTCTCCTCTATGACTCCAGTGTGAAGGGGGCGTTCTGGCACACTTACGATTTTCTGGAGACCTGCGCTCGCACAGGTATCACGCTGAAACCAGAAAAGTTTTTGTTCTGCAGGAGAGAAGCTGAGTTTGTGGGTTTCCTCCTGGGGTGGGACCTGTACCAGCCCACTGCCCAACGTCTGTCAGCCATCAAGGACTTCCCCATGCCTGATCAGCCATCAATCACTGACATCAGGTCCTGGCATGGCCTGGTTAATCAGTTGGCTCCCTTCCTTGCCACTGCACCTGTGATGGAGCCCTTCCGTGAGCTCCTCAAGAAGCCAGTGGGCAAGCAGGTGTATTGGGACGACCAGCTGCGGCTCAAGTTTCGCCAGGCCCAGGACACCATCTGTCAGTTGGCCAGAGACGGCTTGGTGTACTACGACAAATCCAGGCCTACGGCAGCTGTCACTGATTGGAGCAGGGAGGGCATCGGCTTCGTCGTCCTGCAACAATACTGTGCCTGTGCCTCTCCAGAGACGCCCTTCTGCTGCAGAGGAGGGTGGCGGTTGGCTCTGTGTGGTAGCCGACATCTGAGCACGGCCGAGGCCGGTTATGCTGCAGTAGAAGGGGAGGCCCTGGCTGTGGTGTGGTGCCTGCGCAAGGCCAGGCTGTTCCTCCTTGGCTGCCCGAACCTCATTCTGGTGACGGACCACCGCCCCTTAGTTGGCTTGCTAGGGGACAGAGCCTTCACGGATGTGGCGAATCCGCGCCTGTTCAGGCTCAAGGAGAAGACCCTGCAGTACCGATTCACGGTCAAATACTTGCCAGGGAAGCGGAACTGTGCAGCTGACGCCCTATCCCGCTTCCCCTCCCTCAGGGCGGCGCCTGATGCGGAGGACATGGACCAAGAGGAGGACCTGTGCACTGCAGTGTGTGCAGTCACAATCGCAGCACTGGATCAGGATGGGTGCATCACTATGGACGAAGACACAGTGTGCAAAGCGGCGGCGGACGACCCAGCGTACCAGATTCTAGTGTCGAGGGTGCTGGCGGGCGACTGGCACCCCACAAGTCACAGGAGGTGGCCTGTCTGCGCCCGTACTTCTCGGTGAGGGACAGGTTGGCTGTGGTCAGGGGTTTGGTCACCTACACCTTTGACCAGGGCTGCGTGCGCCTTGTCATCCCCGACTCCCTCCGCCACCGAGTCGCCGTTAACCTGCATGTGGGGCACCAGGGCCTCGACTCAATGCTCAGGCGGGCCCGGCAGTCTGTCTATTGGCCTGGCATGGAGGGTGACCTGCAGTATCATCGGTCCCGGTGTGCTGCTTGCGAGACCCACGCCCCTTCCCAGCCTCCGGAGTCGTTGGTTCTGACCCCAGCGCCAGACTATCCCTTTCAACAAGTGGTGGCCGATTTGTTCCACCTGCAGGGCCGCACGTACCTAGCATATGCTGACCGACTGACAGGTTGGCTGGAGATCGCCCACTTCCCCAACGAGGCCACCTCTGGAAAAATCATCGCCAGTCTGCGGGCCTACTTCACGAGGTGGGGGGTACCTGAGCAGATCTCCACAGATGGAGGTACCAACCTTGCCAGCCTTGAGATGACAGATTTCCTCAAGTCATGGGGGGTCGAGGTGCGCCTCTCGTCGGCCCACTTCCCCCAGTCCAATGGCAGGGCAGAGGCTGGGGTCAAGGCTGCCAAGAGGCTCCTCAGGGATAATACTGGGCCCGGGGGTAGCCTGGACTGCGATAGGACATCCCAGGCCCTCCTCCAGTACCTGAACACGCCTCTGCGGGGGGTGAACAAGTCGCCCGCCCAGCTTGCCACCGGCCGCCAGCTCCGTGACGGCGTTCCCGTGGCCAGACAGCACTATAAGGTGGACCAGCACTGGCGGCGGGCACTTCGTATGAGGGAGGTGCGCTTGGCCGAAACACAGGATGGGGTCCTGTCGCGGAGGGAGGTATCCCGCCAGCTGGCTCCCCTAGTCGTGGGCACGCAGGTGCGTGTGCAGGACGCAGCTACCAAGCTCTGGGACAGGACAGGCATAGTGGTGGAAGCCCGCCCTCACAGGCAGTATGCCGTCAGGTTGGGTGGCAGTGGCAGGGTGTCCATCCGAAACAGACGCCACTTGCGAAACGGCTCCACACCTGTGCCTACTACTCCGGTGGTGCACCAAGCTGTGCCTCCTGGGCCCCCTTCTGCTGTGCCCTCCATACCCGCGCCCTCCTCCGCACCCACGGCCCCTCCCCAGTCGAGCGCGGCCAGGCCCAGGAGAGGCCGTAGGCCTCCGGGCTGGTTGACGGACTACGTGGTGTAGTGTATGTGATGTAAAATCAGTTTAGAGGTTTTTTTTGTTTTTGTTTTGTTTTTGTTTTTTTCCTTTGTTTGACTCGTTTTTCCTGCATTATTGTTGTTTTTATGAATGCATTGTTTTCCTTTTGTTAGTTCAAAGGTGCATTGTCATTTCCTTTTAACTTGGGGGGGAGATGTAAGAGTGTACCATCGTACGATATGTTTTCCCATGTTGAGATGGGGGCTTGTCCTTGGCAGCGCCTGGTGACCAGTGTCCAGCTGACGCTGTTATAATAAAGTCTATAGAAAACATGGTCTATGACTCCAACCTCTCACAATATGAGAAAACGAAGTGATGCTTAAAGAATAAAGGGGAGTGCAGACAGGCTAAGAAAGATGATATAGAAAGGAAATGCAAAGAGATTGATGATGAGGACAGAAGGCGTAATTATATGTTCAGAAAGATTAAACAAATAAACAAAAAAGGAAAT